GTTGCTTGAAGCGCGTCCACCATAGACTTTGTATGTAAACCTGCTGCTCCTGACGCTGAAATCATGTTTGGTGTGAACGCACCATTAGCCTTTTCAGTGCTTCACAGTTGAGTTGATCCTTTAGTTTTGTGACCAAAAGGTTCGATCTGAAGGAGGAAGCYAACAATATTTACCTGCTGGATTATAAACAACAGCCATGTGAGGACACTCTGCTGTGGTCATAAACTTTATCAGCCTCAGGAGCCGAAGTCTGCAACAAAGTGGTGAGTTGTTTTTTATTAAGATTATTATATTAATCAAGAGAATAACTGGGTCTGCCTTGTTGCTCAGGAAGCTACTGTGAGCGCCTCGAAGCGAGGCTGCAGGACGGCTAACATTTCTTCATGTGAAACAGCTCTGAGCTGCGCTTCTTCCTGTTCCATATTTAACTGGAATGATCCATTCCCAGTTAAATTTAAAAGATTTGATGGTCAGCTCGTCTGATTTTATGACCACCTGAATGTGTAACTTGTGTTTCCTCCTCCTTACAGCTCCCTCGGTACTGCTCGGTCCGAAACCAGATGTTTTCACAGAAATCAAACCAGATTAASGCAGCTTCCAAACGTGACTCTAGATGTTTTTCACAGCGACCCTGTCTGACGCTTGTGACAGAGATCCCACTGAGTCAGACCTGATGAACCCAGTTTCCTCCTCTTTTCTTGGTCCCATCTTCTGTCTGAGCAGAGCTGTCTCCACTCTGTGTGACTGCTTCACATCTGTACGGATGGACGGTTTTATCTTTAGTTTCATAGTGAAATCTGATTCACTATCATAGGCGTGCATAACAAGAAGTCAGATTGATATCTTTGATGTCACATAGCAACAACTGTTTACCTTAGCAACTAAAGTTATGGTTTCAGGCTCTGCTCCGTAGCTCCATTTAGCAGGTGGAAAATCGTATTTTTTAATATCTTTTCATTACAGTTGTGAATTTAAATCACAATTTTAAATAAAACATATGAATGCAAAATATGAGAAAATACACGTTTTTGTTTTTTTCCTTCATTTCACCTTTAAGACTTTTAAAGACTTTTTAATGCCAACTGAAATTAAATTTAGGACTAATTCCACAATAAACACAAATGACAAAATAATAAAACTGTGGCAAAAAAACTCATGAATCAGTATTTTTGGTTAAAGTATTCAAATATTGCTAATTGTTTTTATCCATTTCTAACTGCTGTTTGGTCAAATATAGAAAAAATATTCTTAGCAGTCAGTTTAACGACCCAAAATGTGTAGTTTTAGGACCCACAGTGGGGTCTTAGCCCCAATTTGCTGTAGATGAAACCTTAAAACAGGACTATTCAACTGGCGGCCCGTGGGCCACATCTGACCCACGAGAGACCAAAATGTGGCCCACCAATTTGTTCATTCATCTCTTAAGTCCAAACCCCCGGTTTTCTACTTTAATTACTTTAAGTTGTTGTAGTTAGACAAAGACATGTTTGTATCTACAGAAACATCAGAATCTTGGCTACAAGCTGGTAAAAACGTTTCTATGAACATCTAAAACAGATAAATTACAAGCAGTTGAAGATAAAACTATGAAMGTGAAAATAAAATTGTTATAAAAAAGTTGGCAAGTCAGAGATGTTAAAATAATATTTGTGTTAAACAGGAGGCAGAATGTGTTCTTTTTGTTTTTGATATAGTTTTACTGTTACTACAGTTCTGTATGTTGTATCCATGATTAAATGCAAAAAAAACTAATTCAAAGGTAACAGATCTTTGTAATACTTGGTTTATTTACAAAATGATTTTAACTGCTGGATGTTCGGCCCCTCAGCTGTTGTTCTGCAGTAACTGTGGCCCCGGAGCGGTTCAGTTGAACAGTCCTGCCTTAAAGTGTCTGTGACATCAAAGTTTGTAAGAAAAGTGAATGCATTTTGAAATGACAACATTTTTAAAATATTACAAAACTAATTTCACTTTGCTCAGATGAACAGTTGGTGAGATATTTGATTTAAGTAACAGGAAGTGATGTCAAAGGGGAATGTCTGCATGTGAATATTTAAAAAAATAAATGCTACCAAATATTTAAATATTTGAGATGAATTAAAATCATCCTATTTACAATGTGTTAACATTTTTAGGACTTCTAAAAGACTGATTTAAGACATTTTAAGGCTAATTAAGGCCTTATTTTTGAATTGATGAATTCAATGACTTTTAAGACTTTAAGGACCTGCAGGAACCCTGTTCAAACACAGGAAACAACAACGTGGGTCAGCAGCAAAACCACCAACCTTCAGGTCCTGCTCRGCCTTCAGAGCCACCTGAGAGCCTCGGGGTGGCAGCAGGGGTCCAGGGGGTCCTCTGGGAGGGTGCTGACTGTGCTGCGGATGCTGCTGCCGTGGGTGAGGCATAAGGCCGCTGCTCACGTTGGGGGAGATAGGAGGACCCATTGAAGACCTCTGAACTCCTCCAGCAAAAGAGTTAGCATGTGGAGGACGAACCAGAGGAGACACGATGTTCGGCTGGGACAGAATCTGGATGAAGACAGAAAAGAAAATAAGTGTCTCCAGTTGTGTTGGAGCTTCAACAGAACTCATGACAGAGAGAATGCTGAGTCATGTTTAACCTGAGGGTTGAACTGGCTCGGGAAGTGCTGAGTCATCCTCATGCCAGCAGAGCTGGGCTGGAACTGCTTCTGGTAGAGCATGCTGTTCATCTTACTGGACTGGCTGCTGGGAGACGTGGAGCTGGCCCTGCAGGACAAACAAACAAACAAACACACACACACACACACACACACACACACACACA